TCCTGCTTCAGGATTCTGATGAACTTAAAACTCACATTCTTGATGTGGAACGTGGGCTGGAAACCTTCATGATGCTGTTGAAAAGGTATTTCGGCTTCAAAAAGATACAAGTACAGATGTAGGTAAGCTTTGAATTGCAATGACTGGGATAAAGCAGGAAGGAATTGCAACTGTCAACAAGCTGATCAGGCAAGTCGACTCTCTAAAGAGCGGAGTCAGCTCTTCCAACAACGATCTTGCCATCTATGTCCAGAACTCTTACTCCAGTCTGTCCAAGTATGTGGAACGCTCCTACAACACTTTTTGTGGGAAGGTTATCAACACCCTCAAGTACTTTTGGGGTGAAAATCGTTAGCTTTCTTCTCTTTTGTTGCGTCTTTTGAACAATTATCTAATAGGGCTCTGTCCCTTGTCTTTTGGACTGTATTTCGAAGGCTCTCTGCCTTCTTACTATCCTGGCTACTGCTTTTTCTGTTTTATGTATTCTCTCTTGCTCTTTCTTTTTTATTATGCCAAAGGGGGAGATTGGTCTGAATTCTCTTTAAACGGGAATCAATCAAGTCTGGGGAGCTATAGTCCAATCAAGTCAGGGGGAGCTACAAAGATCCTTCAATAACTTAGGGAAGTCTCATTACTACTTTAAGCTTATGTAAATCAAAGATAGTTGTCATTATAAAAAAGGGGGAGATTATTAGCTTTACATGTTCCAGAATTTTAATAATGACTTTTAACTTGTGGCAGGAAAAGAAAGAGAAACGAGCTAATCACACAACATCTTAGAAAGGAAAGATAATATCCACTAAATCAATCAAGGGAGATAATCTGCATAAATCAAATGACACACTTCAAGGAATCAAAATCAGCCAAGATAGAGAATATCCGCTCAATCAATAAGGAAGTTGATATGCACCAAAGGAAGCAAGACTAGATGGAATCCGAGATTACTAAAGGAGAAATCGAAACCAATGGATGACATTGAGATCAGCCAAAATTGAAGAAGATAACCAAAGATCAGCCAAGAATCAAGAAGATCATCACACAAGAAAGAATCTGATTTGCTCATGCACATATCTGAAATGGACATGACTCAGCAAATCAATCAGGATCAAATCAAGGACTAAACTAATGGTCATTGATTCAATCACCTTTGAGTTTCTATAAAAGAGCAAAGTCCTCCAAAGTTATATAAAGCATCTCTCAGCCTCAGATACGCAACTTCACTTGAGCCTATAGTACAATCTTCTTTTATCTTTCAAAAAGTTTTGTAAACACGTGAGTGCAACAATTGAAAAGAAAAGAAAAAGAAAGATTCTGAGTGTAGGTTTACAAGTAGAGGTAGTGTCAAGGTAGAACATTTGATTTGCATATCAGACAGAATCAAAGTCACAGAAACTCTGTACCATCGAAGTTCTTTTCAAAGCTCTAAAGGAAACCCTTGAAACCAAAGGGGACTGGACGTAGGCACCACATCGGTGTTTCGAACCAGTATAAAAATACTCTGTGTTATTTACTTACTGCATTTACTGTTATCATATACTTGTTCTACTAACGTGCAAGTGAGTCTATTGACCATCACATGAAGTCTACTGAAAGAAACTTTAATTCACCCCCCACCCCTGCTTCTTGACTTTCAAATAATACCATATCAAAACTACCCCGGCTAGGGAAGCAGGCATGTCGTCCAGCGTGCAGGTGTTGGATGACATGCTTGATTTTCATTTTTGTGGTTTAACTTGTAGGTTTATGTGTTCCTACTGATTGAGATTTGTTTTGGTGTTGCATGTGTGAATTCAGTTTGGGGCTTTTGGTGAAAACTAATTTCGGCTTATCTGGGTGTTCAACATTTTTTCTCTGTGAAGTGATTTCTGCGTATTTGGATGTCCAGCGATTCATCTTTTTACCGATTAAATTTTGATCTTGGAGGGAAAAGGGAAGCTATAGTATTACCGAGTTTATTAAATATATCCTCAGTTTTATTCCTGACACCGATTTCTCTATCTGTAATTGATTTTTAATGCAACTACCATCATGATTGAAACTATTATCATATTGCAATTTTTTGACTCCAATATATTAGTAACTTATCCTCAAAATGAATTTTGCTTTATAATCAAAATGAATTTTCCTTAATAATTAGTATTGGTATTCATCAATCCCATGCTATATGACGAATGAACAACAAGACATTTCTCCTCTTTAACCAGAGGTCTTGAAGTTTGAGCTACGAGTATAAACTTGGTCTTGTTGGATGACGCTTCATTCCTATATGAGACTTGCCAGAGCAAATTCATATCCCCCGATATTCAGTTGCACAAGGTGTACAGTTTAGGCCTCTAAACATCTCAACACCCTTCTATGTAGAAAATGGTTATGAGTTATATTGGACTTTGCTTTATCTATTTTATTGTATTTTAGAACATAATTTGAGTTTAGTTTGTGTTCTGGCATTAGCTTTCAAATCCAGGGGTTCAAGTCTCCATCTTCATTTGAAGGTGCGTTATTTCTCCTCTCATCATCGATTGCTTGTTACAAATTTGAATTTTTATCTTGAGACGGAGGGAATTTCAGTTTAAACTTAGCAAGATTGTCTACTGCCTTGCACCCAAGTGTGTGGCCTAAATATATATATGGGAATTATATACTTACAGAATACATGAAGGACGGCCCATTCACTTACAAAGATACAAAGAGGCCACATACTCGTTCAATGTAGTAAAATATATATTATAATTAACCACAACTGGGTGATAGTAGTGTATGCTTAAACATATTTCACGCATTCTTTAATTGATATAAACACGGGTGGTGGTGCTAGAAAAATAATTAGTTGTAAATAGAATGATTGTGTAATATTAATTACATGACCGAATGTTGAACGTGCATGAAATCAAATGTTATTTTTTATCAACAAAATAACTTTCCATATCAGTTAGAAATCATATGTAAAATGAAGATCTGGGACATGTAGGAGGTAGGGATGCTCCTCATCATCAAAAGCATCATAATAGCCCACTTCTCAATCATTGCTCCAATTTTAATCTGAAATGGATAAAATATAAGTTTCTATCGTGATCAATATTTTCTAGCTTCTTATTTTGTAAATTCAACTTGACATGTATCTTGAACAGACAAAAGGAGTAACCAATTGAAATCCATCTTGTTTAGACAAAGCGAAACAATGAAGCACTTTTGTTTACCTAGCCACATATCTCCTTGTAGCACTCTTCCTTGTTAGGAATCTTGTGATAGTATAAGTATCCATTCAGTGTTTCCTTATCCATAAATTTCTTGGGGAAAATTGAAAATAGGGCGAGGCAGGGGAAATCTTTTTTATTTAAAATATATAATGAGGCAGGGAGCGAAAAAGAAATTCCTTTTTCTGAGCTCCCGAATCGAGTAATGGGTCAATTGTATAGCAATTTGTCGCTAAAATACAATTGAATAGAAGTGCTCGTTGGAATACAAAACTGCACCTACATCTAATTCTCTTGCTCTCTTTTTTAAAAAAAATAAAAATAATGTGCAATAAATTAGTTTTGAAGAAACTGATTTCAAAATAGTGTGAGCTCAAGGGGGAATGCAAAATTGGGCTGCTTAGCAATAGGCATGTCCTTATTCGAGTAACTTTAATGGAGGACTATGTGCACTTACTGTCCAAGCCAGCTTTCTACATTGCACAAAGGAATTGCTCTTTCCCTATGAGAACATTGAAGTGGGATCCAATGTTTAATCCCGAAGAAGAGACGACTATCGCCATTGTTTGGATATCCTTTCCAACTGTCCCACCAAATTTTTTTGGTAGAGAAATGATGTTCTCATTGGCAACGGCAGTGGGAAAACCTTTATAGGTTGACATGGCGACAAGGAACCAAACAAGGCCTAGTTGTGCTAGAGTCAAAGTGGAGGTGGATTTACTCGGAGAATTTCCCAAAAGAATCAAAATAGGCATGAAGAAAACTAATGGGGAGGTAATGGAGAAGTGGGTGAGAATAAAGTATGACTACGTTCCAAAATATTGTAAGACATGCATGTTACAAGGACATGATGAGCAATAATGTTACGTGGAACATCCAGAATTGTATCCAAAGAAGGAGAAAAATAATATGGAAGCAGATGCGAAAGAGGAAAAGGAGAACAAATATAATCGATAAAAAGGTAGTGATAGGATGGAAGAAAGGAATGCACCTCAACAAATGGAGAAGATTAAAAAATTTGAGGAACCAAAAACTAAAAAGGGAGGGTGGAGGAAGCAGCCAGATAGAGTTTGGGCCAAGGTGGAAATACCCACCGGTAACAAATTTGAAGCTTTAGAGAAAGATGAAAAGAAAGGTGAAATGATGGAGATCTCTAAAGGAGGAGAAGGCCAAGCATCGGAGAGGCAAAGTGAACACACAGTGAAAGAATCATCCAAAGAATGGGTCGAAAGTTCCTTTGGAAAATAAAAAAATAGGACATCACCAAGGGGCACAAGGTAATCACATTAACATAAGGGCAGAAAAATTGCATATATTGTTAAAGAATGAGGGATCTAAGGAAATATCTATCAACATGGGAGTGAATACTCCCCTTACTATTGACAACGGTAGTATGCATGAGAAGGAACACCGGCAGGATAATAGTGTAATAAGAAGTAATGAAATGACGAAGAAAAATGATCCAGAGGTACAACTAAAAGAAGCTCCAAACCTAATTGACGAATCAGAGGGAGAAATGCAACATAGAAAAAAATATGAAGAAGATGACTACATGGATTATAATATCCAGCAGATCAGTATAGCAGGGGACTTATCTCCAAGGCACATGAATAGTTTGAAGGCAAAAAGAGGAAGACCCACCATTCCTCTCCAAGTCAAAACAAGGACTAGCAAGGACAAATATTCCAATAGTGATAAATGATTGAAAAAGCTATTTTTTGGAATATTAGATTCGTTAACAGTCAAAATTCCTTTGGGAGATTGATGGATCTTAATAGAAGACACCACTATTCATTTATAGCTTTAATGGAACCTTTTCAGGATCCATTAGAGTTAGACCAATACAAAAGAAAGTTAGGTTTCGATAATGCCCTAGCCAACTATTCCGAGAAAATTTGGATCTTCTGGAGGGATGATTGGGAAGGTACTTTGCTTATGGATTCTATACAACACATATCTATGAAATTCTGTAAAAACAATAGTTCTTTCATTATTTCATCAATATATGCTAGGTGTAATGCGTTGGATAGATTGGAATTATGGGAGGAATTAGAAGGTATCGCAGAATATTGGCGGATACCTTGGATGGTTGGGGGTTATTTTAATGTAGTTATTGATGAGGAAGAGAAATTGGGAGGCCTTGAATTCACTCAACAGGAGGCTATTGATTTTGCTCTTTGTATTAGCAGTTGTGTGTTAACTGAGTTGAGGTGAAATTTTCAGGGAGTAAATATACTTGGTGGAATGGACGAATAGATGAAGCTTGTATATTCAAGAGATTGGATAGAATTTTAGTGAATGCTTTGTTCACAGAGGAATTTTCATCCAGTGAAGTTCATCATTTAATCAGACATGGATCAGATCATGCTCCTCTTCATATAATTTGTGATACAGAAGAGGAACCGGTGGTGAAACCTTTTCATTTTCTGAATTTTTAGACTAAACACCATAAATTCAAGGAAGTAGTACAACAACACTGGAGGATTGAGTTTGCTGGTAGCCCTTTTTTGGAGGTTCATGCTAAGCTGAAAAGGGTAAAAAGAGCTTTAGCTAAATGGAGTAGGGATGTCTTTGGTAACATTTTCCAGCAAATTGCTACTGTTGAGGATTTGATCAAGGTTAAGGAGACTCAATTGGAGATTCTTCCTACAGTAGAAAACAGAGCGGAGCTGAGTAGAATGGAGACAAAATTGAGAAAATACCTCAAGATTGAAAAAGAATATTGGAAGTAAAAGGCGGGAATGAAATGGTTTATGGATGGAGATAGAACACTAAATTCTTCCACTCTTATGTTAAATGAAGAAGGAAAAAGTTACATTTAGCAGAGATATGTAATGAGCACGGGGTGATGGTGAAAACAAACCAGCAAATAGGGCAACCAGCAGTCTATTACTTTTCAGAGTAATTTAAGGCAGATGAGACATCTCAAGATTACTCAATGCTGAAACATATCCCTAAGATGATCACAGAAGAGGAAAATGAAGAAATGATAAAGATTCCAACACAAGAGGAGATAAAAAGGGTGGTGTTTGAGCTTAATGGAGAGAGTGTGAGTGGACCGGATGATTTTTCCAACTTGTTCTTTCAGTCCTGTTGGGAAATCGTAGGAGTTGATATCACCAGATTAGTGATTACATTTTTTTGTGGGCAAACACTGCCAAATTTTATTACTCACACCAATCTGATTTTATTACCAAAGAAGGAGGATGTTAACAATTTTTCAGACATGAGGCCAATTAGTTTGAGCTCTTTTATAAACAAGATTATATCGAGATTGTTGCATGATAGAATAGCGAAGGTGTTACCCAAGATTATATCTCCCACCCAATCAGGTTTTGTTAAAGGAATGAGCATAACTGAAAATGTATTGTTGGCACAAGAAATAATTAGGGATATTGACATGAGAAATCAACATATTAATGTGGTTTTGAAGTTAGATATGGCTAAGGCATATGATAGAGTGTCTTGGATTTTCCTAACAAAGGTGCTGCGAAAGTTTGGTTTTTCGGAGGTAATTATTGATATGGTATGGAGACTCATCTCGAGTAATTGGTATTCAGTCCTCATTAATGGCCAGTCTAATGGTTTCTTTCAGTCTTCTAGAGGTCTTAAACAATGAGATCTTTTGTCCCAACACTATTTATCATTGCGGCAGAAATTTTGGCCAGAGGTTTAAACAACTTACACAGTGATAACGATTATAAAGGGTATGGTCTGCCCAAGTGGAGCCCAACTATAAACCATCTGTCATATGTAGATGATATAACATTATTTTGTTCAGGGGATAAACCTTCGGTCATTAAGATGATGACAATGATAAGAAATTATGAAGAAGTATCTGGTCAAATGGTCAATAAGGCTAAGAGTGCTTTCTATCTCCATGAAAAGACCCCCTTGATAGTGGCAATCTGAATGAGAAAACTCACAGGGATAAGACAAGGTAATTTCCCTTTCACTTATTTGGGATGCCTTGTGCTTTATGGAAGGAAGATCAATAGTTACTTTGAAGACTTAGTGAGGAAGGTGGCTCGAAGAATTTTGTCTTGGCAGAATAAATTTCTATCCTTTAGAGGTAAGTACATACTTATTAGTCATGTTCTTCAATCACTACCAGTTTATATTTTATCTGCTATGAATCCCCCCAAAAATATTATTGAACAGATACATCAGATCTTCGCAAAATTCTTTTGGGGAAATACAACAAGTATAAAAGGAAAACATTGGGTAGCCTGGAATGACATGAGTTACCCTAAGGCAGAAGGGGGTTTGGGATTTCGATCTCTCCATGATGTTAGTAATGCTATGTTTGACAAACTATGGTGGAGGTTCAGGGTGTCCATTTCTTCATTATGGAGTAACTATATGAGCAATAAATATTGTAAGAAATTACACCCTACAGTTGTTAGGAATTCTGCAACATCTCATGTGTGGAGGAAATTATTGCCAGTAAGGAAAGAGGTGGAGCATGAGATTTGGTGGCAAGTTAAAGTAGGGAATTCAAGTTTCTGGTACGATAATTGGACAAAACAAGGGGAGTTATTTTTCACAGAAGGAGAAAGTGTGCAGGAGGAGGAATTAGAGGTAAAAGAGTTCATTGGAAATGGAAGTTGGAAAATAGAAAAATTGCAGGAACATATTTAAGAGGAAATGATATCTCACATAGTTAAAAACATCAAGCCTAACATCTATGCTCTGAATGATAAGCCGTGGTGGATGGGAAATTCAACAGGAGTTTTTTCGGCCAAATCAGCTTATCACATGCTAAGGACCAAGAGAGAAACAACTGACTGGATGAATTGGATTTAGATTAAAGGTTTACCATTTAAATTTTCTTTCTTCCTATGGAGGGTGTGGAAGAAAAGAATTGCAACAGATGATAATTTGAGGAAAATGAGAATGCATATAGTATCTAAATGTTACTACTGTGAGAAGGGGGAACTGGAAACCATGACTCATTTATTACTAACCGCTCCCATAGCTCAAAGGCTATGGAAGCAGTTCGCTTCTTGTGCAGGTTTGGATATTGATGGGATTCCACTACACCATTCATTTTTTAAATGGTGGGAATATGAAGGAAACCTAAAATTGCAGCAAATCATGAAGGCCATTCCAGCGATTATCACGTGGGAACTATGGAAAAGGAGAAACTCAATCAGACATGACAAGAAGGTATCGTTTGATAAAAATGTTCAATCAATGTCAAATGATAGTTCATCAGCTGATAAAATCCAAGTATCCATGGCTCAAAAACATTCCTCTTCAATGGAGTGAGATGTTTGATTTACTACAAAGATACAGACCCACACTATTTTATCACATTGTGCGGTGGACAAGGCGAAATGAGGGTTGGATAAAATGTAATACATATGGAGCAAGTAGAGGTAACCCAGGGATGAGTTCTTATGGCTTTTGTTTGAGGGATAGTAGCGGGAATCTACCGTATGCAGAAGCCAAAAGAATAGGATTTGCCACTAACTTGGTGGCTGAGGTAACAACAATCTGGAAAGCTCTGAGATACTGTAAAGAATAGGGTTATGCTAACATATTTCTAGAGACCGACTCATTAAGAGTGTGTTTGGTATGAATTTTCCAATTTTTTCATGTTTGGTTGGGTTAAATGTTTTCCAAATCAAATCATTTTCCTCAAATTTAAGGAAAATGACTTTCCTTCAAAACTTAAGGAAAACATTTTTCAAAACTCTCTTCCAACTTCAAAATTTAAGTTTGTCTTTTTAAAAATATTTTCAACTTCAAATTTTCATATTTTCACCCTACCCTCGATCCCCCACCTCCTACCCAGCCCCCCCAC